TACAAAAGACCTTCGTAGCTGCAAGCGAGCTTTTGGCTTCCGAAGATCATGAGCATGAGGTACTATGATGATTTATTCATCCATTTTTTGCAACAGTTCTATCAGAAGTACGTTTTGAATTAAATTGGTATAGCATTAGTACAGATCTCCCAAGGGATCTTCACCGTCTTCTTGGTCGTCTAACGTCGCCGCATCATTTGTCTCATATAGCACACAGTTTTTCTCATTTATACGAACCTAAAATATACGCACTGCGTTGGCAATACCTGCTCACTAAAGTTTGTAAAGATCTCGCTGAACACACAACAAAGGAAGGACAGTACGTAGGTGTGTTTGTGCGGGGTATGTGACAAGACAATCGCAAATTGCCCGCTAGCGAACGACGCTGCGTCTGACAGACGAGTGGCCATTTGAAGCTGAGCATGAAATGGATGGAAAAATTGGACAAGATCAAATTTCCATCATGAAGTCTTGGCTCAGCATGAATTCATATGAGTTTCGGTGCTCCAATCGGCTAACTGACACACATTCAGAAGGTCTACGGGCAACTGAAACCCAATCCCTTACTGGCTCCAGCTTTCTGTTTTTCTCTGAGCTCTCACTTCGCATGGCGTTCTGTGATTGACCTTTCACATCCCACCTTTCAAGCATAAGTGGCTCATCCACCTCAGTGAACTCTCCCTTTGAAAAAATAGTCCTCCGGCTCGCAACATATTTTTGTACCTCCCGATCCCGTGACGACCAAAGTTGTTTATCTCTCGCGCTCTGGCCTTTCGCAGCAGAACCTCCACCAAAAGTTTAGATGTCACGTAACCCATCCAGAACTTGCCGCGCATCGCCGCACAATATATCGCGCGCGACGAATACTACAAATTACGATGTGTTGTCCGCCTCGCCTTGTGAGTGGTGTCACAGCGCGCGCCTCATAAAATATAGAGAATCATGTACCAGTAGAGGCGGGAGTGCGTATGCGACTAAAGTGGCGCGCGCTTACCACTCGCGGTTCGATATCTGGGTCGACATCCCGCCCAGGCGACCAAGCCTTCTAACCTCTTGGGGAGTAAAATTGGTACAGATTTCGTCTGGGAGGATAAAACACTGACTTGTACATCGGCTGGCCACCGCAAGTCATTGTATAGGCCACATCGCATTCAGTAAGCCACTACGATTCTGAATGGAAGTAGAATGCGTGCCGCATCCCAGAGGATTGATCAGCGGCGAAGACTTTATCCTTTTATCCTTTTTTGTACGCAAATATGGTCGCCAACAGACAAAATCATATGAGGCCGATCCCGCTTATAACGGTCTTGTTCGCGTGGATGCTGAGGGGAAAGGGGCTGCGTTCGGGACGAGGTTACACCCGATTTTTCAGCCGGCAACTACTTGTCCGATGGGAAGCATAAACGAGATAGCGCCAACGCGAAACCCAAGCTCCCTTCAATCGTGTTGCCGGATGAAGAGGTGTAACTAAAATTTCATAGGGAAGATGAAGGACTGTGTAATAGTTTCAATGCAATCATGTTTGGGCAGCCACCAACAATTTTAAGAATCGTTTTATTAAGAAAGTTGGAGGTGGAGTAAGGACAAAAAGGCAAGTGTTTACAAACACGTGCGGTGCGGGGGTAAATCGCGTATCGCCTCCCGGGGGGGTGGGGAGCGCGACTGGAGCCTTCTACTCTCCAGGACGATAAATTGGTACCAGACTCATCTGGGAGGATAAAACACTGACTTGTACATTGGCTAGGCCCTCGCATGTCATTGTATAGGCCACATCGCATTCAATAAGCTACAACTATTTTTTCCAAAGAGGGACTGACCAGCACAGCTATGCGACTTCTCGTTCAACCTTAATGTAGACTAATCGATAAAATACCCAAACCTTCATCTTTCCCTCCGCCTTGTTGATCGCAGACTTGTCCTTATCGGACTTGATCTGTTCAACTTCTTTTTCTATTTGTTCTTTTCGTCCCTGGAAAAATTTGGGAGTTAGTTATGACGGTGCTAGTCAGTGTGGTCCAAGAAGTCCGAGTTGCGGTGGCGCGAGGAATCAGCTCGAAGTATGGCCGGTCTCAGGTGGTTCAGTGGCTCACTATTTTTCGTCAAATTGGCTATGTCGCGATGTGGATGCCACGCACGCAACGCCGCTGAAACTCGGATCTCCGGACCTCCACCGAAAAATGTGCAGCACCTGAGCGATTTCGTCAATATTCCCCATGTGTTTTACATGTTGAGGTTGAATCACAATGCCTTCATCTGCAGCTTTCTTCTCAAATTCACAAACTTCTTTCGCCGGTACGTCTGGCGGCTTTCCCTTTCCCTTCGCTTTTTCTCCTGTATGTTCGGGGCCTTTCGCAGTACTGCGTGCGCTGAAAACCTCTTTTCATGAAGTCTGGATTGCTGCTGAAGGCTTCGATGCCACAGTGTTCCCACTTGGCAGCCATTGGTTTTCTTCTGCTGCTCACGTACAGCCCCACCCTCGTCCTCCACTTTGTGAGGTAGCGGCAAGTGTGCCAAGCGGACATCATCGAACTGATCCCAGGGAACGACTGGTTTCCAGGAATCGCTAGGAGTTCCACATCACTTTCCTTATCCAAGCCACTGATGTGAAAGGGACACTCCTTCGGACGGACATACATACCGGCTGACTAACCAGGGAGGTGTTTTAACTATCCATGGGAAATAATGGTTACAAGTCTATCAAATCTAGGGATCTAAAGGCGTGGCAGGCGCAGTTTGCCGACGAGGGGGGCATTTTGCACTTTCGTTGCTTCACTAGTTCTGGTTTACAAGTCTCACTCTGGTGAAACCTGTGAACTCTTGTGAAGCTGGAGCAAGCTCGTCAAGCCATCATGGTAAAACCTGTCAACTCGAGAAGAGGCTGTCTAGATGGGTCGACACGTCGATGGGAAGTCGTTAAAGTGCAAAATGCCCCCCCCCGTCGCCAAACAGCGCCGGCGTGGCACAATAAATCCCCCAAGGAGTGTTAGGATCAATACGCCTAGCAGGACCGAATTCGACGCACCTTAGCAGGCGCTATGGCGCCTTTCGTAGAAAGGTACCCTTATAGCGCCCTATCAAGCTGCAACATACCAATCCGGACCTACCGTGCCCGCCTGCTTTTTGTTCACCCACATTGTCACAGTTACCTTAGCTGCTTTTGTGTCCGTAAAGACTTTGTTCCGGCTTCTTTCTCAGCCATGCTAGAAATCGAGAAAACCAGAACTAACCTGGCTTTTTTCGGCACTTTCGCATTGGCATCCGGCTAAAAATAGCAGGGCTCTATTAATAAAGAGTGTCTGGAAAATGATGTCTACAAGGTAGAGGGAGGTAGCGCAGTTAGTACCGGAGATGCGCGCACCGCGCCGTGATACTGATATTCTTTTCGGATGAAAATTGCAATTATTTCATGCGTTTCGCTATATGAGCATGTGTAGCAACTATGAAAATTCATAGAGAACAGAACGGAACAAAACTTAGATGAGCCATTTTTTGCTGGGAAACAGGGATGACGTCAGATCAAGGTAACCGTCCGTTAGAGAATTGCAACCCGGTTCACTGATTCCTAAGAGGATGGAGGAGGGCGTCGCACGTAACCCAGAGCATCTTTTGGGTTTTTGATTCACCTTCACGTCGCGCTTGTTCATTTGTTGGAAGCCTTGCAATAAGGGAGAGGTCGTATTTGGTCAGTACAGTGGGAGCTGAATCTGCCCTTAATATTTTAGGGCCAAAAATTAGATTTTTCAAGATATTTTCCGAATTTTTTCCGGTTCTTGAATCCTCCTTTTTTTCCATTTCGTGTGCGCTACCCTCTCTCCCACCGTTTTCGCACGACAGCGCTTGGAAAATGAGAGTTTTCTGGAAAACTGGAAAACAATGAGGCGAGTTGGGCAAGTTCAAGGAAGGTAGGCAGGATTGGCAAAGAGAGAAGCGGAGTCATATCAAAGGGGAATTCGAGGGGGGGGAGGGGAGGCATAGTGACGAATATAGAAGGCGCCCCTCGCTGGGCAGGAAAGCGGACGCCTGTGGTTTGAGAAAAATTTGACAATTCCTGCAAATACCGACACCCTATCATAAAGTCCCTTCTCGAAAAAACCCCCGGAGCCGGCAGCAAACCAGTATCCACACTATTCTCATAGGTGAATGTGTTGAAAAAAACCGACCTCTCCAATCGGGCAGATTTTGGGACAAGTGTCGGAGGGAGTAGGTAGCGTTGAGAGGGCTGTATTGCTGCCGAATCCTCTCAGCCGAGTACAAATATGCCTCCAGTAGTCTCTTAATGAGCCCTCCTTGTCTATTTTGGTATGAGATGTTTAGTACAAGGCAGATGGGGGACTGACGAACCTGCTCACTGGTATCGACGTGAGTCTCCTCAAGATTTACAGCACCAACCAGTACAGAGTAAGCATGGCCCGCCTCGAAACTTCTCTACACAACTTACCTTGACCCCAGAATACTGCATGTTTTCAGTGCGAAATGCAGTTTCTGAACATAAATATCCTACCGATTTTGGTACACTGACGGCTGTTCGGGTAGATTCACCTTTCTTCGTTGACTTCCCGCGATCCTCAAAAAGATATTTTAGGGAGGACGACCTCCTGATTTAGGCTGATTTTCGCTTTAAGACTCCTTACTTTACTCAATTTATTTGTTCGAGTGGAAGAAACTGTCTGACACAAAAAGATACTGATAATTATTGTGATAATGAAGCATAGAACTTATAATTGTGAATAATCTGAAAACACTTCAAGCAAGTGCAGGTTGAATCAAGTTTTCGGAATCAAGGTTTTTGAACAAAGCCACATCTACTTCTGTGAACACTCGCAGCCTAGTTGCCCATTGCTCTTAGAGCTGGCGCACTTGATCAGCCTTTGTTTTTCAACTCTTCACTGCCTTTTTTTTCTTCGAACCCTTCTTCCAGCCTCGTTATGTTACACGTTGCTACAAGTGTTTCAGTCATGTTTTAGCTTTACAGTGCTGCTATTGTTAGGTGGGAGTTCTACTCAACATATTCACGTCCACTCGTTCGTAGTGTTTCCTCTCTAGTCCTTTCCTGATGAAACAGGGTGGATTTAAAGGCAGTCGGCACGATAATTCGTATGGCTAAGCCAAAAATGCCAACTAGACGCCTATGTAGTGCGTGAAAATGGCCGCAACCCAAAAATGAAGGAAACCGTCGGAAACCTGCGAGGAGAACCCTTCCCTCTTAAGGACTAAAAAGCAATCTCGGATGAGTTTCCCGTTGGCATCTTGCAGAATAGTCCGCTCACGGGTAGGATACGCTTACCACGCTATTACTCATAGTCCACGCGCGGCCGCGCGCGTTCATACCAATTCCTTCGCTTCATAATGCTTGGTCACATGAATCGATTAGAGCCGTCAGAAAACGGTCGTCCATTGTGGGCTGTGCGAGCGCGGAGAGGCGTTCGTTCAGTATAGTGAGCTCGATAGGAACCTTATAAGGGTACTTTTCCTTGGAAAAGGCACAACAGTGCCTGCACAAGGTCGCGGAATTCGTCTTGCCAGGCGTATTAATCCTACTCCTCTCAGGGCTTTATCCAACTGCCAACTGCCTTTAAGTCACCAAACGTTGCGACACGATCCTGTCGGCAGGACTAGAACGGTATCAAGTTTGTGAGATGAACACCACACGATCAAGTACTCTAGGAATTTGGCCAAAGTTTTTAAAACTCCATGGCGATTTCCTCTTGAGCTTGGAGCCGAACTACTCCACTAGATGCTAGATGAAAGGATTTATACAGATGAGGGAGCCTCGGGTAGGCACTGCCTAAATGAAAACAGGCACATCGGGTTGCGGAATTTAGATCGCCCCCTCCCTTTTTTGGATGTGGCCCCCCCCGGCCTCTGTCCGTGCCTCGTCGGGGCTGTCGACGGGTGGGGGAATAAATTGCACAAGTGAACCACCGGAAAAAAGCCGCGAGGAAAGTACGACCCTCCCCTCCCCTTTACAAAGTCCCTGAAAGCGGGAATAACCAGCTACCAAAATAAATTTTTCTTATCCCAAATACGACCCCCCCCCTGCTGGGGATTCTCCAACAACGATGTGCCTGATAAAAGCCAAATATGTCAATGTAACAGCGAAAACAGAACAATGCGCGGTGTTTATGCGAGGGAACCATGTTCCCACGCCCTCTTTGGATATCGTAGCTCACCCTATAAGGATGGAGGACGTACTAGTTTCGCAGCCGAAAATTACGAGGAAATAGCAGCGCCTGCTCGCTAAAAGTCTGCCGCCCCGCCCACCCGGCGACAACGACGCCCAAGTTCACGTGAGCCACGGGGCTCGTGAACAACCAATTGGCCGTAGTCGAGAGTCTAGGAGGGCAGGTGCTTCCGGAACTGCGCGATCCCGGTGAGTGGAATCAGTACCATGCTCGACAGAGCCGACTTCAGCTGCAGGTTCGTTGAGTGCAGATGCGGTTCACTAAAATTATGAACTTGTATGAAACCCACGTGGAATTGTCCAAAAAAAGTGCAAGCAAAGTTTCCTGAAACAGCGAAGCTAGGCGTAGCTGCTGAGTAACCTCTCCTGAGCAACATTTCCTTAGAAAAACATTGGTTCTAAACTGCAATTTTGCACGTGCCCATACATAGGGGACGGAGTCGTCTAGTAACAGTCGAGCATTCGAGCATTTCCGAGGGAGCCAGGGCCAAGAAAGCCTCTATATTCGAGCCTCGCTTGACAACGAATCGTCACTCTAGACCGCGTACTTGACGATCAGCAGTCAGCGCAGCAATTAAGTGAGGTCATGCCGCAGGCAGGCCTCGGGATATGCGCTAGGTGGTCCCTACAGTATCTTACCGTACACCGCTCCAACTGAAGTCCGCCACCCCGGAAGTATAGGTATCGATCTAGCGTCTGCCAGCGTCTACCAGCGCCCACCAACGCAGCAAACTGCTGTAAAGAGTATGGTGCTATAGGAAGGCACCAGCTGTCTGCTACCCTTCTATGGCGCCATACTCTCCAATCCAAAACACTGCTAGACGCTGGTGGAGTTGGCAGACGCTGGTAGACGCTACATTGATTCCTCGAACTTTCGTAGGCCTCGAGACGATGGCGAACGTTGGTAGACCCTGGCGGAAACCGGTAGACGCTGGTGAACGCTAGAGGCGCTAGATCGATATTTGTACTTTCCTAGTCGCTGACGCTGCCGGACGCTCGGACGCTGCTGGACGCTATTGGTCGCTGGTGGACGCTGCCGCAAAGTATGAACGCAGCCTAATAGAAGTGGTGATGATACCCAGATAAGCTTTACGCCCATAAGAATGGTGACAGGTACTCCCATCAAAGCCTAGAGTAAACGTTGCAGGAAGCCGACTCTAGGACCAGAGGAACTCCTAAAGTTGAGAAATGGATGACGTTAGCACTGCACATTAGGGCGCCTTCAAATGCGCTTGTGATAGTTTCAAGGAATTACTTGTAGTGTTCTCCAAGGGAAATCAACCGCTCAACCAAGAAATTGGAGCGGTTGGCACTCTACAATACTCCACACATGGTCTTGTGATCAAATTGAATGGAACCAACTGATTGTAAGTGCTGTTCCCCTTGATCGTCGATTGCTCAGGAGATTCAAGAAATCGAATTGCGCTCTCACTTTCAGGCGCATTCAAAAGCCACTGCGGTGAGTCGAGTTCGTGGCGGATTCCAAAACTCCACTAGCCGCTACTTTTTTGATCCACCTATTCCATCCAATCACACTTGAGATTGCTGAAAACAATAATTTCACTTACCAAACGTCAGCAAAGCGCCATTCTAGTTGTATCATGGCATCTGCGACCGGGTGAGAGCAACAACTGAGCGAATATGAAACCCACTCTTTCAAGGCTATCACATGAATGGCTTCAATCAGTGGAAAAACATTTTCGCTCACAAGTCAGCTGAGACAGCGGCCTGTTACGGTGCAAGGTAATGCTTCTTCAATCCAAATATCCACAGCTAGTTTGTTCCATCCTGTTATCCGTAACTAACAGTTTTTCCATGCCTTACCCATTAGCCGAGTTTCGTGCGTTCGCTCTCCGCCGCGGAAGGAACTTCTCGAGGATAGAGCTACGTAGACAAGAGAACGCCGACCATAATAAGGAACCGCATTCTTAGAGGGGAAAGACGAGCAGACATACACGTGCATAGGCTTTCGCCCCTAAGTGGCCCCCTCACTTTACCTATGTCCACAACTGATGTCTTCAAAGTGTCGATTCCAAAGCACCAATCGTCGTTTCCGGCTAACCACTCCTCCTCTGCTCCACCACGCTCAATCTCCATACATGCAATATCATCCGCTTAAATAAAGCGGACAACATAAGGCGTATACAAGTCATTCACAACCATAGTGTTGCGCTTTGTGGCTTGAAGATGAGATTAACACCTGTGCCAACATAAAAACATCGTGAAGAACAGGTTTGAAATACTCAACGTCTCTGATGGTGAGATACCGTAGGCGTAGTTGCGTACTGGAAATGAACGTCATGGCGGCCAAGGTTTCCGTGCGATATATTCAGTTTGGAGCTTTTGTAATGATTTCGCTGCCCAACATATTTAGATCAAGATGACAGTTGTCTCAGATCAAAGCAACCACCCAGTACCCATACCTAAACCACGTATAAAGATCCCTTACTCCGTTAAGCGATGAGGAGTGAGATCTGTCGGTTGAGACCTCCCTCAAGATGATGCTGCAGCTATTTCTCAGTATTCGCTAGCAGCTAGGCCGTCCCCTGTCGGTCTTTAAACGGTTCCTCAAAAGTAGTGAGTCACGGCAATGTAACAAGCTGCTTTTCTTTTGTACTTGCACTAAATTTCCGAAAATTCTGAATACGGTGGTAAAGCGTTCTCCATTGATCAACCCTTAAAGGCTACGCCATGCATCCGACCTCCACTCAAGTTTGCTGTGCTTACCCAGTTGGGATTGGTATCTAGCCATTACAGAGAAATGCGAGGGAAAACTGAGCTCAGGTAGGTTGCTCCGCAAACGTAACTGTAGGATTGAACGCTGGCTCGCTGGGAATATGTGCAGCTATTTTCAACATTTGCTTTACCTAGGGCTTTCACTAAAAATCCAGTGCCGCTTGCGTCGTTTTTCATTAATTTTGATGAACACGGAGTAGCGACTGACACCATGGAGCTCTCTCGAATTTTTTTATTTAATTTTATTTTTTCCCTAAACTCATGGGCGAGAAAAATGAGCCTATAATCGCGTTTATTAGCAGAACCCAGTCTCATTATGAACGCATGGCTGAAAGTTAAAGGAAATATGTTCGAACGAATTAACCTCCCGTTCCGCTTACGTGAGGCACGAAAACAACCGAGGGAATGGATACTAGGTTTGAAGGCTTTGAGCATGCAAGTTAATTGATAATTAATTGCTACTAGGATGCCCTGCGTTTGCGTTTCTCAGTCGTAATCGTAACAGCGTTTCACATGCAGTTTGGCCTACTCAAGAAGTATGTATTGGCTAAAAACTGTTTGCTCCCTGTGCATCATCAGTGTTTTATCTACGTGAAGGGGTCTGCTGATGGCTAGCATTACACGAAGGCTGGCTGGGGCCATATTCGATAGGCTACATGCTACGTACACCATGCTCAAATCTCGAACGGACGGCATAGCTCGCTCGGTTCCATCCCAACCACGCTATCCCTCCGAGGTCGAATGCTCGATAGCATTCTTCTCTGAAGGGCCAAGAACACTGGTTCGTACATCGGCTAGCCTATGCAATTTGTGTGTAGGTCAATTCCAATCCCAACACCGCTACGACTCTGAACGGTGGTAGGATGTGCGGCGCATTCCAAACGAAGAAAGTTCAATGCCAAGAGCTTTGTCGCTTTCACCTAGCGCATCCGTGCGTTGGTAACATAGAGCACAGAGACACAGAGTCCACTCTCCCCGCTGCGTTGGTTCGAAGCAAACTGTACACTTACCTCCACGGACGGTTCTTTGTG